AATCTACATTATTCTTTAGCCATTCATGTGGAGACTGTCCAACAAAAGGCGGTGGTTGACCATCATCAACACACATAATCACAGCAGTGTTTTTTTGTTAATAACCATTCAAGGAATTTTTTAGTGTTTCTAACGACACCGTGTCTATTTCGTCCCATATAATATACTTAGGTATATATTTCTCACCCATTCGCTCAGAAAACCATGTATCTCCACACTACCTAAAAAGAATATGATAAGTGCAAGTTTTTACACGTCGTTCTTTTATCTCTCTGGCTAGTTTATGTGTAGGTGTCAAAACGATCATATCAGAATTGTTGTTCATAAATAATGTAATCACACGAGTTGTTTTAACTGACCCTCCACAACCATTAAGATAAACAGTCTTATGTTTAGCCACAGGATCGTACACAGATGGTGCAAATGATTCTAATATTTGATTATTATTTATGTAATATATTTCCTTAATTTCAACTTCAGCAAATTCTGAATAACTAAGTATATTTTCTTGCTTTATCCTCCATGTTCCCCACTCACCATTACCGAGTAGCGGTTTTAATAAATCCTTATATTTTTGGTTTATATAAAATGAATCCGTAGCCACTCTGACAGCGTGACGAAGAAATCTATTTATCATCGACAGTAGATTTATAGAAACATAGGCTAACATTGAAGATCTTAAATGAGTAAACTGCGGTGAGTCGCCATCAAGATAGCTCACAATAGTACCTAGTTTGGTCCCATCCGATAAATAAGCATTATTTCGGCCAATGCATGTGTTTCTCTCTGTTGTATCAGCGATTATAAAATCTAAGTCCTCATCGTCCATAATCAGTCTTGTACAGTGTCGTTTATAACCGTATGAACCACCTAGAGTAAACTTACCAATTATCTTTCTACCGATATCTTTTGCAAGATTATCATCGTGCTCATCTCTGCATTTACGTATATTATTATTAATTTTAATAATGTCATCTTCGGCAAGATCAGGAAATTCTTTCTTGGCATCTTCTATATTAATTCTGTTCGATTCTGGTAACCAAACTTGCTTTTGTTGACTATAGGATATAATCGCTTCATTTACTTTTAACGATACTAATACTCCATCATCAATCATATATCTTAATAACACTATTGGTGCCCAACATTTTTCTAAAAAGTGTTTACCAAACATAAGTAATCGGATGGAGTTCTTTTGCGAACTCGAATGATTCTATATTTGCAAATCCTGTTAAGTCAAAATCTGGTAAGGGTCCATTTATTGAAACTCTGGCCATGTCATGTTTAGGATGTCCGAATCTCTTAAAGTATTTAAAACACTCACCATATCCAAGAAAACTTCCATGATAGCATGCAGCCATATCGACTGATATAACATCATTATAATCGTATTTAGTATTCCATAATCCACCGTGTCCATATTCTATGCAACTTTTTTGTATATCCTCCATAAATTCTGATCTTATAGGTGTCCATGAATTTTTTTCCTGAGCGAAAAGGGCCGCGACTGTTGGTACGGTAAAACAATTATTCAGTAGTTGTCTGATTTTGTCATCGTCAGAAGTATATTTTAGTGCAAGATTTCTCATTTCTTCATAAAGAGATTCTGTACGATAAATATCATCATTGGGTCGTACAAATTGATCAAGATAATCGTGTTCCGAACTCTGAAATAACCAAACAGATACAGGGTCATTTCTACTTATAATTTTAATAAAATCAAATACATGCCCATTATAAAATTTAATCAGTCTGTTTCGTGACAATATTGCTACAGCATCAGTCCATATGCATGTGCATTATGATCAATGATTGTTATATGGCTTCCATTTTTTGTATATTTTGGTTTGTACAATATCTCTCCTGTTAACGTTTTTACTGTAATTGGAAATCTTAATGACTTTTCTAGCTTAGCAACATCCTTAATAGATGCACCTGAATCTTTAACGGTTTCTGTCCATTCATATATTTTTTACGTCTTAAATCCGTTAAGCCATTTCCACGCATCGCATTTGTAAAATGTTCAGTAATGCGCTCCCCAACACAATTTATTCTTGACTCTGATAGTCTCATAGGTTCAAGATCCGCAATAATAGGTTGATTATTTAGTAAAATCAATCCATATACCACAGCAGTAACAGTATATCCTAGCTCAAAAATACGGTCTATCAATACCAGTCAGTATTCCAGGTTTGGATTTGTTACTTAATAATATCGTTTTATTATTACCAGATTGTATATGAATGGGTTCTCTCTTATCGCGAAAATATCCAAATATCATCTTCTGTCTCCACAATAAATTTTATTAAAATAAAATATTTTTGATCATCTAGGTGGTTAATAATTACTTTCCCCCGTTTGTCGTTCATTACATTAATAACGTTTCCAACTCTAAAAGTAACCATACATATTTTGCACCTTCTTTACGAAATTCCTTCTTAGCCCCATGGATTCGTTTAGTTATATATGTATTTGTTAAAGCTAGGTCTTTCATCCAAACACTAAATTTATATTCTGGTAGTCTGTCAAGTTCAAATCTAGTAGTAGATGGTTCAATTGCTAATAATTCCTCCATCATTATAATCAAGACAAATATTCAAATTGATATATATATATATATATATATATATATATATATATATATATATATATATATATATATATATATATATATATATATATATATATATATATATTATGATCAAGACAGAAAATAAGTGTATTTGGTTGAAAATTGGACATATTTCTCATTGTGATAAACCATGCGTAAACAAAAACAAATACTGTAGTTACCATATGCAAAGTATCAGACATTGAAGTACTGGACCAAAACCCTGCATTCAATGTGATATTGGAGTTAGGGGAAAAACGCAAATTTGTGCAAATTGTGGAGGTAAAAAATATAGGGAACTTAAACGCCATTATGACAAAAAAAGATACATCGACAGGTAAATCCCTTATAAAAAGAGAAAAGGATTATCTAACTAGATTTCAAAACAATGATTTAGACAAATAAATATTATATACAAATGGAGCAAAAAGAATTTGTGAGTCATCCAATATATACGAATTACGAGGCATCCAGATATGGTATTATTAGACATTGTAGAGTAAAGAAACCAGTTGGTAATATTGATAATGCTGGTTGTTTTAGATTTAACGTTGGTAGAAATAAAAGATATCTATCACATAAGTTCGTTTTTGAATGATATTTTGGGGTCGCTAAAGATGGATTTGTTATTGACCATATTGATGGATTTCGGCAGCGTAACGAAATTTCCAGATTGCAAGCTATTACGCGGAGTCAGAACTGTAAGGAAGGAAATACTGGTATTCATCCTAAGATTCCTAAGTCAGTCATATCTACTAACACAGTTACTGGTGAAAAAATAGTTTTTAATTCTATGTATGCAGCTGCCAAATATTTTGGTATTTGCACGCCTTCAATTAAATTTGTAGCTGATCATAAACGAAAATCTTCATATTCAATAAAGTATGACCAAAATAATATATTTGAATACGTATAATAAATGTGTACTCTTAACTCAGAATAATATTATTTTACTTATAAATAATTCGACCCTATCAATCTTACCAAGGATCCTGTTTAGCAATAATCATATTTCCTGACTGTGTCATGGATCCACATTCACTATCAATGTTCTCAATTTCTCTGTCATTTATTACAGAATCAAATAATATAATCCTTTTAGTAGGGTCACACGATTATCAATTATTTTCTTTCTTTCGTACTCGTGAGATAATGCACTTTTTATTTTTTCGATTAAACGCATAAGAGGCGAGAATAATCTTACCTGTTTGTCATTTACGACAGCTATGGATTCTAATATATAATTATATATCGACTTTATAAACCTATAATTGCAATTTAACGTGAACTTATTTTGAAATTTTCTCGCCTGTAATAATTCAAAGTCATATATGATTTTTCAGGGTCAAGGTTATATATATATATATATATATATATATATATATATATATATATATATATATATATATATATATATATATATATATATATATATATATATATATATATATATATTAGTTCGCATTATTTAATAGCACACGTAATTTACTTTGGAATAGTCAGATTTAGTGGATATTGTACATAAATATTTGAGCATAAACGGCATTGAATAGCCAAATGTAAGTGTGTCGTGTTGTGATGTATTCTGGCATATACGGCCACATTGGTCTGTAGAAAGCACGTGGGAATTTAGACCTTGCGGCGAATTCTAAGGAACTGGAGATAAAGACAGTCATGGGTATTAACTTAAAGGTAAACATAGCGCAATATAGAATCTGCATCGAATATCGATTACGGTCACGTGAGGTTAAAATTATACAAGGTAAACCACCTAAATCTGAGCACGAGAAACATACTTTATATTTATACGTAAATGTGTAGTCATACTATACATTTAAGGGGACAACTTCGTACTTCGAACTTTGACTTCGTATTTCATTTCCCGAACGACAGAAAGGAGAAGGAGGAATACAAAAGGAACCCATTAAGTTAAAGGGGAAATCTACATCTACGTGATGTCAGAATAGGGAGGGTCAGAAGAGGACGTGGGAAACAACTCATGCGAAGACAAGTGTCGGGTGATGATGTCAAAGCATTAGATTTGACTTAGAGTCACTGCTCGAATACTTGACTATACAACTGCCCTGAAAATCGACTGAAAAGTTACATCAGCGTGCAAGTTCAACATGAGTTTCCAAAGTTAGCTTGCATGCAGTTCTGCCATGGTACCTCACATATTTTATTATAAACGTGTTTCCATCTGTGAACTATTTTAGGGGGGGGGACAGCAGACTGATGTCCATCCCTACTTAGCCAAGAAAAATTTTCTTTATGGTTTCGTGTATCTCCCTTTGAGGTGTTGCAAATGATCTTAGTTAAGAAAGAGAATTTTCAAAAATTCAATATTGAATGGGGTATTTTATTATCCCTAGTGTTATCTAAAAGAACCGCTTTGGTAGACTAGTGGTTAGAGCGTCCGCTTCTGAATTTGGAGGTCGTGGGTTCAAACCCCGACCGAGTCATACCAAAGACCTTTTTAAAAAATGGTACTAACAGCTGCCTCACTATGCGCTCAGCTTTAAAAGCTTAGTGTTATGACTGGTCGGCCTGGTGTCAGGATAATGTGACTGGGTGTGACATCATGACATGTCTGCGGCGTGATGTTCCATTTCTAGACATAACTATAAACTGTCACACTGCAGACATCGTAGCAATATGACTGAAAAATTGTTAAAGCTACGTTAAAAAATCTAAATCGCACACACGTGATCGAAAAGATGAATTTCCCTCTGTGATTTTAGTCACTAGATTACGAAACTTCACCCTTTAATATTCAGTGACCTTTGCCAAATGTCCCTATGTTCTGCGTATGGTATTTGTGTATTGTTATATTTTGTATATGCTATTGATGTTTATGTAAGAATGACATAATAAGCCAAAAATTTTCTTAAGTTTTCCTAATAAAATATTGATTTAATAATCAGCGAAAATTTGTTTTATTTACATTCATAAATTTAGAAGTTTGCATAAAAAGTGCACTAATTATGACAAAAAAAAAATAAAGTCTGTTTTAGGTGAGTGTTGTATTGTGTGTCGTTTCCTAATTCTGATTTAAAATATAAGAGACTGGACAAGAGTCTAGTCTTGAAAGAAACCGCATATCTTTATTTTCCTGGAATGTTTACTTTAATATTTTTAGTTGCTAGCCGTAAGCGATACTGAGTGAAAAATACAAACCTTTTAATTTTGCATTGTAGCACTTTTCTTTTTGGTATATATTGATTTAGACTGTTGAAAAGCTTATAAATTTATATCATGTTTGTAATTCCAAGTTTCAATGTGCTCGTTAAACTTGAGTATTGCACGAAAAAACAATTAGAAGCGAAACGTAATGAATTATAAATGAACATTCATGAGAGATTTACTCTCTGGTATTGTTTTATATCAATACTGTCCACTTATGTTGCAGTAGTCTTTCTTTTATTAATTTCATTTTTATAAATTTTGAATATGGATTCTACACCTTTCTTACTTTTTTGGAGGGTGTTCTCCCTGTGTTATTTTTTTCAGACCGGTTAGTTAGGCCCTCCTGCCGTACATGTAGATGATTGTGCTATATTGAATTTGTTTTATTATGGTACAATTTTTCTACTTGTTTTGTTTGTTTTTATATTTATTTTTTTTTCTTTGATATTAAACTTGAAAGAAGTAATCATCATCTGCTCTCTCTTGTTCCATTTGATAATATTCGTATATTGTTTCGTCTATTAGACGTAAGTTTTCTCTCTATTCTACGTTGTTCCTCTATTTGCATCTTCTTTCTCCTTTTGGCTTTTCTTAGCTCTCTTTTATTTTCTTTTCTCTCTCATTTTCTGTCTTTGTCACTTCTAGTTTTTCCTCTGCCAAAGTTATTTATATTTTCTTATTGATCTCAGGCTGCAATATGGGATTTTTCGTTTGTGCTGCTGTCTCTGTTAAGGTTGTTTGTGCTTGATTTTGTTTTGGTGGGGAATTCTGAATTTTCTTTAGCTTGGAGAGATGTGGCTGTTGTTGCTTAGAATGTTGCTTCACTTCCTTTGACTGTTGTTGATTCTGGTTGAGTCTTTGGTTCGGGGAGTTGTAGTTGTTTTTGTTTTAGATTTTGTTGCTATTGTTGACTTGGTTGCTTCTACGCTCTTGTACTATTATTTGTTGCTTGGGCTGTCGTTGTTGTTCTGCTTGTACTTGTTGTTTAGGCTTTTATTGTTGTTGTTCTTGTCTTATCGTTTTTTCTAAAGTTTTTAAATTTCCTGGACATTTGTGTGGAGTATGACCGGTTAATCTGCATCTATTACAGTTCCTGTAATATATACAGCCCTTGTACCAATATTGTGCCAAAAATGCCAAACAAGTAAAACGCTTTCTTCACTTCTATTAGCTTTGTTTTCTCTATTTCCAAATCCAAATTCCCATTGTAGATGGATGCTTCAATGGATCTTATCCAATCTAGCAGATATAACTGGAATTTTGAATTTCTCCTCAAATCTTTTCTTTGATATTTCTAAGTGTATCATCTTACAGAATGTCATTTCGACATAATTCTCCAATTTGTTTCTTGATTTTTTTTTCAGGATTGGGTTCGGTTCTTTTTCTCTAATATTATTTTTGATTCCCCTCTCTCCAGATGGTAATGTCAGTGTATTTCCCCTTGGTCTTATAATATATCCTGTGTAAATGGCGCGTTAATTGAAAATGTCTTCTCTATGGAATCAGGATATTGGACATTCATTGCAACCAATACATCTGTTGTTGTTGGTATATCCTCTCTCGGAATAATCATCATATCCACTAATTGAGTCCCTTCTTGATATGTGTTTTGGGGATAGGCACCAGACAGATCCCCCTACTTAATAAAAAAAAACAGTAAAGTGTTTTCATGTACTTTTGTTTTCCCCCTGATGTGCTACAATTTTTAAATTTATAAAAAGAATTTTGATCAAAAATTTTAGTACGTTCTCAATTTTTGATGGGGTATTTATTCTTAGTATATCTAAACGTTCACGCATACAATAGGGTTTCATTTACCCTATCGTGGTCGTTCCCCTTGTTCATATTCATGTGACCTTGGCTAAGGACCCCTACGTCCTATGTATGCTATATGTAAAGTGTTATATTGTATGTTGCTATATAGTACATTTGTGAGGACAACCGCTATATCCAAATCACTTTCCAGTTTTCATAGAAACAAAACTTATAGTATATGTGTACATATTGTCACTGCATTCATATTTAATATACACACATATGCTGAAACAGGAGATGTTTTTATTTCATTTATATAATTAGTTTATTTATGGAATTTTGAATTTTGGACTTATTTTAGGGTGAGACGGTGCATAAAATATTTAAAAAGTTACACCTAATATTTTAACTGACTTTGCGCAGTGTAACGTCTCTCCCTTTATATAGGTACTATATATTTAATTATTAAATGCAGTAACTGTGTTACTCCCTGCATTTTTTTAAGCAATTTGCATTATAATTATTATAAGTTGTCCAAAATTACCAAAAAGGACTAAAATAAATAGAAAAAGAAAAGAGCTACACATGGGATTTTCGGAGGCTCTTCCACAGGCCTGCCCAATTCGCGTATCACCATGTGATATAGCCCAACGATGTCCTTGTCTCTTACTTCTTCCATGTGTAGATTCAGGTCCATATAAAAAAATAATAGAGATTAGGTTATTATTAGCACTTGATAGTGACATTCAAGAAATGAACCTTCTTCTTTCTCTTCTTACATTGAAAAATTTGTCTATTTCAAGGTTCTTAGTTATTTTGTGTATTCCCATTATTCCCTCGTGCGTCTTACCTCTGTGAGTAGAAATCACCACACTTCTCTGTGTGGTATAATGCCTTTGGATTTAAACCTCATGTAAGCGGGAGCTCCAGAAAACATGTCTGTTCTCTTCGGCAGCTCAAATATATCTTACCACACTTAAGGCTACAAAGTTTGTGTACAAAGTGAAGTATGTCAGATATAATTCAATGTGAGATAATGCGTGAAGTAATTCCTGATAAATGTTTTATCTTTAGAAGTTTCTTCGTCGTACACTTTAATTGCAATTATATTTGTGACATACAGAAAAGTTTTCAGAGTTTGCAGAGACCCTTTGTTATCATCAAGCAGATACACGAAATGCTATCTCCGCTAGAGAAAAGATATAAGCGATGAAGGGTGAATAGTGCCTTATTGGGCACTGTAAACATAGTAATATAGACCCGGTGGGGCAGAAAAACCCAAAAAATGGGTCACGTGACTCGTTCAGCCAATGGAATAGAGCTTTAGGGCGTATGAATATATTGTTGATTAGTCTCAGTGTCTCTTGCAAAACAGTATTTAAGACACGGGTTTAAATTTAGTGTCACATTATTTTCAGGATCATTATAGTGTCGCATTGATGATTATTATCCTGGTCAACTGGAAAAAAGGTGAGTAGAATTTGCATTTTGTACAAAACCATAGTCTATTTTTGGTAAGACAATGACAAAAACACTTACTTTGGGTCCGTTTGTAAATTGTATTTGAGGTTAGGGACCGATCTTAGACTCTTTTAACATAACGAAAGTTTGTAATGGAATAATTAAAGGGGTCAGAGGGTACACAATTAACAAGATTTTGCGCCATGACATGAAAGTCTACTTATCAGAGACAATGATGTAAACGCTAATTCATTTCCATCAGTAATTGCACATAAGATGGTCGCATTGGCCCCACTTTCTACATAAGAAATAACGTTCTATGTCAGTTCATGCCTAGATTTTAGGCAACGTTACACCTAGTTGGGGTAGCTGGAGCGGTTCATGGTCGTTCCGTACCCAAGATGCTGGTCGTTTCTTACCCAAGGTGCTGGTCGTTTCGTACCCAAGGTGCTAGTCGTTTCGTACCTGAGGTCCTGGTCGTTTCGTACCCAAGGTGCTGGTCATTTCGTACCCATTAATTTACAAGCTCAGATATACATTATTGTCATATTTACCGCTCCCTCTCTATGAATAATCTTTTTCCTACCTTAAAAATTGCAAGAGCAAAGCATATCCGGGCAATAAATTGAACTAGCACAAATAATTACAATAATCATATTATTTTCACTGTATAATAGTATAAATAGTATATATGCACTGAAAAGAATTAACAAAAATTTACATTGCCAGTAAAAATAAAAAGAAACCGTTGGCCAGGCTTAAATAACTGAATAAGTCCATTTTTTTCTATCGTTCAAATTAACAAACATTATCCTATTTCTTGGTATTATTTAGTAATGTCTATTGTGAATGAATAAATACAAATCCTCTAAAAGCAACTAGAAATTCTGAGATCTCTTAATTATGGGGTTGATGTGGTTGAATGCAGATAAGTGTTGCTTGATTAAGATTCTGTTCTCCAAGGACTAATACTGGTGATAATTTCAATTTTTGTCGCCTGCTTTTAAAGGTGTTGAACGTGGTATACTATACACACCGCCAAGCCATTTTTTTTTGGTAG